AAATAGGAAGTAATGATAATGGTGTTTCTAATTACATACATAAGAATCAATTAGCAAGATGACAGTTTAAAGCAGACTACTCACTCAATTACAACTCAATTATACATGTATTTAACATATGTGATACGATTATTCGAGTACACCACTTTAACAGTAAATTATTTTGAAAGACTTTGTCGAATCTATAGATAATAATGTACATTCTCTGTTCATATGACACTTGATTGTTTTAAGGTTTCATAATATATAGCTTATTGCTAAATAAAAAATAGTCCCTTCACCAACTATTAAGTTAGCTAACTTTGACTGTAAACATTTTATTGCAATTTAACATTTGTTAAAGTTTTGACTACTTTTTGTCACTGTTGACGACAGTATTGTCCGAACATAAGGCGCGGCAAAGAACAAAAGCTTTGCCAACAACACTGTTATTGACAGCTTATGTATTTCTAATGTTAAAGGGGTTATATGTAAAGTCAGTGTGGGTCAACTACTGCTAATGACCAATCAAATGTTGAATAAATGTAGTTTATTTTACATTTCCTCTGCGCTTGCTACTATGCTTGTTGCTCTTTATGGTATTCTGTGATTCTATGATTCTGTGATTCTGTGGTTTTTGTTGTTGTTTTATGTTTACAGCAACAAATAGCAGCAGCCGTAGGAAGACGTAACTGTTGTTACTTTAAAAGAAAAAAATAGAAAAAAAAACAATTTCAGTTCTCATTAATGTGGTTGTTATCTTTTAAAGCCTTTTTATGGATTTTTTATATTTTAGAGATTTGAGCCGACGACTCGGCTTTGTTGTGAAGCCTTTGAGGATTTTTGTGTTAATGTTTCAAGTTGACTGCATTAATGGAGTGGTTGCTACTGTAACTTTATAATCACACAAAAAAAAATAATAATAATAATAATAAAATCTAATGCGTTAATGTCACTCCACTGTATAAAATGTAAGTAATATTTAATTAACATTTTTTCTTATTATATTATCTAAATTTTTGTTTGTTTTTATTACTTAATTATTTAAATTCTTAAACTATTTTACTTTATATTGCTTTCGACAATTTTCTTTGATTATTTATTTATAATTTATTTATTATTGGATATTTAATATAAAAAAATTATATTTTTTTATATATAATAATTTTATTTTATCATTAAAAAATATTTTAATTTGTTTTTCTTTTTATAACTTAATAATTAATAATTTGTTCAATTACATGTTGACATAAATTATATTAAAATATTATTTAATTTATATTCACTTATTTATGTAATTTTTTTTATTTATGTATTTGTTTAATTAATTTGTTATATTTTTTTAATATATTTATTAGTATTGCGTTGTTATAAATATTTTTTTAATCATACTTGTAATAAACATTTTGTATATTATTTTATTTGTGTATATTTTTTTAACTTATACTATTTTTTATATATAATTTCTTAATACATTGTTCATAAAAATTCCTTATTATTCCAAATATGTTAAACATACATATAATATACATTGTTTATATTCTTTTAATTATGTTTTATTTAGGTTAGGTTAGGTTAGAGTGGTGGCCTTGTATACCAAGAAAGCCCACTTGAGCTTAAAATAATGGCCCGTTATGATACCACAGGTATAGCGTTTGTTCGTACATAGACAAGGTAATCAGTATAAGTCTAACGCCGAAAAAGGCAACGACTCCCCCATTTAGTTAAAGGAAAGCCAAACCGACAATACTATGAATCTGGCCAAGTCCCTAATATTGCAGCATGACAGCTCAGTCAGATCGGTCAGAAAAGGGGCACTAAGATATTTTAAATTATTCATTATTATATGTTTTATATGTTATATTATATTTTAATTATATTACATACTTTTTGTATTGTTTATTGATACATATATATATATATACATATCATATTATGTTTATAAAACTTTTTGCAATATTTTAATATCTTAAAAAAACATGTTAAATACACTTTTTATTTTATTTATATATATTTTTTATTAATTTGTTTAATTTTTTTTAATTAAATTTTTTCAACATTTTGTTAATAAAAAGTTTTTCAACATTTTGTTAAAAAAAAGTTTTTTAATATTTCGTATATTTTTACGATATAAGACACATTTTTAAAACTATTTTACTTGGCAATACAATTTTTTTTCTTGTATTATGCTGTTTTATATATATTATGTTAATAAAATTTTTTTAATATTTTTAACATGTACATCTTATATTACACACATTTTGCACAGTTTTAGATGGTTTTAAGCCCTTCTAGTTTTATAAGAGAGAGATAACCTGACCTGACCTACATATACTCTGTTAAGGTTAATTATGATTAATTTTTATGGTTTTTTTTTATTATCCAAGTGGTAATTATTTTTATCCATATTTTTTTAAAAAGCACTTTACATAATTTTTAATGATTTAAGAGCAATAAAATATATAAAATTAATTTACGTATTTTTTACATTTATTTTCTTGGGTTTAAATTAATATATAAGCTTTTATATATTAACTTATGTCATTGTATTCACATATAAGAGCACTGTAAAAGGTAATAAATTAACAGCAATAGAATTTTATTTTTTTACCGTTTTGTGTTTAAATTTTACAAATAAATAATATATCAATTTTATTAATTAATATTTTTTTTTATTTTGTACTAACATTAATTCATTTTTTTTGAGTTAATAAATTAATTGAATTTAATTAAGTAAAAATAATGCATTGTTTACTGTTGTTGTTTTTTTTTCTTTTTTTTTTTTGTATTTACACAAAATAAACAAAAACTCCGTCGCGGCGCGCACGAAAAAACGCTATACATGCAACACAAAAATCTACTTTGAATCTTTCAAAGCAGACCAAAGACTGAAGACTTGGAAAATAATTTTTTAGTGCATTTGGCTTAAGTTTCCAGTGTGAGCAAAATTTTTCAAAAATTGTTACAAAAAAACTCCAATTAGCAAATCTTGTCTTTGATCTTGCAAAAGAGAGAGGCATAGCATGAAATAACCACATAGCCACACTGAAGTTAATATTTCGCTCTCTATTGCCGCCACATGTTCGCTCTCGCATGCTTGTTGATGTTGGCGCTGTTTCGTGAGGGGCAGGCAGTTAATGTTTCTTATAAGAAATGTGCACTCACAATGTTAGGGGGCATGAAATTTAGATAAAAATACTGGTTTCTATGGCTAACTAAAAATAAACATGTTTACAATAAATACTGGGAACACATTGCTGTTACTTGCAATTATACACATTAGTGTTTTTGTTTCTTTTTTTTTTGTTGTGTGTTCTGTGTGTTCTTACTGCTATTAATACGGGCATTGCGTATGCTGCGCACATAATGTACTGTACAGAATGTTAATGTTAATGCATTGGCAATGGCAAGTGCAGGGGCATTTACACTGCCTTTCATTGCATATACGTAGAAGTAGAAATGCAGGCACACAATATGTAATATAAATATTTATTTTAAAAATAGTCTCAATTAGAAAGTAAATGCAGGGAAGCAGAAAATTTGAATATTTCTGGAAAATTTTAAATATTTATTTTGTTTTTGTTTACATTAATGTTTATTTATAGCTAATTGGGTCCTAGATTAATTAAAGGGATATATGAGCGCAAATAACTAAAATCAACAATCAATAATAATAATAAAATAATTTATTAGAAATCCATTTCAAATAGATGCGGTGGTAAGAGTAAAAAAATCCAAAAAGTATAATAGCTTTCATACTTTATAAAACAACCAAATCAAAGAATAGAAGGGAATCAAATCAAATATTAGAACAGAATCAAATAAATTCTGGCTTGACCATTTTAAACTATATAGAGAGCCTCGTACTCGTACACCGCAGCGCAAACAATAGTCCATAACTATATTTATTATATTTTGGTGTAACTTATTAGATAATACAAAAAGTATTTTGTCATTTTTTGTCGGTAGATGGTGTTCCAGTGCCATATACCTAACAACACTATTCACCGTATGTAGTTCGAAGCATGTACTATCTAACTACTATATGATTGTGTCTTCAAAACATCTAACTACTATATGGTTGTGTTTTCAAACCTGAGTTGTGGAACGATAACTACGTTAGTATCCTACAGTTGGAAATGCCGGACGATACACACTTGGTCGCATTTGCAGGCTATATACTATAATGTCACAATACTAAAATCTCACAGAGCCCAGCTACATAATCTTAAGGCCTTCGACTGAAATCCTAACTAACATTCCCATATAACATGCCCATATTAAGGAGCGGTAAATGAAGCTAGAAATACTACAGCAGCGTTGTGTGTACTTATGGAGAATATGAAAGGACTCACATAGAGCAAACGAAAGCTCCTTATGATACCGATGAACTCTATTCTCGTGTATCGAAGTGAGATATGGACAGATGTACTAGAAGCTCAATATTGTAGAAAATAGTTAGCGTTAGTATAACGAACAGCAGCTTTGAGGATACCTCAGTGCAATGTACAGTTTCTGAAGCAGTGGCAATAAGTGACATAACTTTTACTCTAATCTGAAAATTTAATTTATATGGTGGTAAAGTATATTTAGTTCCTGCTAAATATTTCATAGGTCGTTTCAATGCTACAGGAAACTATTTCAGTATTACCACAATCACTACTGGTCTGTGTCATTCTACTGGAAATTGACTTTTTGATAAATGGCACAATTCTACAATATGACCTATAAGATCTATTAGAGATTAATCGTATTAATAGACACAATCACACATAGCAACCTGTAAGATTTATTAGAGGTGGACTCCATTAATAGGCGCAATTGTGCATTACAACCTGTACGATCCGTCAGGGTTGGACTCTATTTATAGGCACAATTACAACCAGCGACCCCTGACGTCTATTAGAGGTGGACAAAAAGGTAATATGAAATGTAATATTTTCTTCCTTAAGATGAATATAGGTATTATGTAGTCACTCAACTCTCATCATTTACTCAAGAGTTTAATAATACAAGAATTTAATTAAATGTGGTTTGAGCTAAAATGTTCCCATTTTTATGCAAGAACTGCTCTGTACTCTTTATTAATATATTCCTTTAATCAATTCCGAAAAATGAAGTTGAGGAATGAGTTTTAAGTATCTTAAGTGTAATTTCTATTGTAGTACATTTTTATTTATAAAGTAAAATTGTAAATTAAAATGTTATGTGTGAGTAAATAATATAATTAAGTTAATAAAAAATTCATCTTAAATATAAAATGCTGTTTGATGGTCAATGTGAGTGCTTAAAATTTGACAATGTGTCCAGCGAAGTACATGGCGTATTTGTCTCTGATAATAAAAGCGAATGGATGATCGGCGACGAATGTTTTCGGCTCCAATGGCAGTGACATGGGCACACCAACCACAACTGGAATTGGTAAGTAATTTTTTTTTTTATTGTTAAATTGAAATTAAATTAAAAATATTTTAGGTCATTTGTAGTCTAAAAAAGGGAATTAAATTATTTTTATTACCGCTGGCAGCTGCTGCCTCGCAGCCGATTTCGTTCACGTCGATGAATGCCTTGTGCTGCACCTGAGAAATGCGAGTGTTGATGGGCGAATGCTGGAAAATACTGCTGAAGTCAGCGGCGCCGGAGAACATGGTCTCAATTCCCAACTATTTTATAAATGATATTTAAGTATGTGTGTTTTATTTAAAAATTTTGTTATTTGTTAAAAATACATATTTTTAATAAATGAATTGATATTGATAAAAATAAAATTTGTTTATGAAAAATTAATTAAATTTGTTTAACAAATTAAAAAGTAGATTAAATATCAATTAATAGTAAATTTGATATATGAAAAAATAAATATTAAAATATTAAACAATGAACAAATCAATAGTAAATAATAAATGTAATGTAGTTACATTATAGTATAATAATAATATTAATCAATATAATTAAAAGAAACTACAAATTGCTACTAAAACAATAATTAAACAATAAAGTTAATAATTAAAAGAATTATAGACATTATATATTACTCCGATTTATATATAACATATAATGTTATATATTATATTATGTATTATATTTATTTATAACATATAAAATTTATATATAATAATAATAGTTAATAATAATAATAATTATAATTTACAATAATAATAGTAAAAACACTGAACATACGTTAATATTATAAAACATTATTAAGATATAATAAATGAATAAGTGAATAAAATAAAGATATTGAAAATATAAAAACTAAATAATAAATGAATATTAAAAACAAAAGTTTCCTAAAAAATATTTAATTAATATTTCATTAACAAATACAAAATAAAATAAAATAAAGTTGCTATAAAATAAATTTTTTATTATTTATTATTATTATTATTTATATAAAATTTATTATATATATTTATTTATTATTGTATATATTATATATTTATTGATTTATGTATTATATATTATTTATTATATTTATTATTAAATATTTTTATTATTAATATTTATTATTTATTATAGTTCACAATATAAATAATGCAATGAATAATATACATCATGAGGCCGTCAGTACCATCGTAACGATACTGGTGTATCGGACTCTTATGAACGAAAAAACCATATATCTCTTTTCTAATATATATAAAATCACAAAAAAAAATTTATATATTAATAAATATAAATTTTAAAAAATATTTATTATCATTTAATTGTAGTCATTTAAAGTAATAATTTAAAATTTGAAATATATTAACCCATTAGAAATGTTTCGTAAATTATGTATATATATATTTAAATTTATTATAATTTTATTTTATTATGAAAATGGTTCTTACCTTTTGTAATGCCGGCTTCAAATCGGTGTCAAATTCGAACTTAAATTTGGGTAAGTATACAGCGACGCTCTTCCATTCCCAACGATCTTCAAGCGCTTTGAAATCAACACCCTTTAGTTTTTGCTCCAATTCCAAGAGACCATCACGTTTATTTGGCAAAATGAACCACATAGTCAAATCGATATTCTCAAAGAACAATTCAATCGCTTTAGCATCCAATTCGGGATAATCCGCATAATAATACCAATTGTCAGCGAACATGGTCGGCACCTTTATTGCCTGTTTAGCATTAAGCCAGAAATCACGTTCGCTTGTCTCCTCATCCATGAAAGGACGTGCCCATTTGGCTTTGAAGAAAATGGCATTCACCAGTGCCACATTTGTGCTCGGGTCGATGTTAGTCAATATGTTTTGTATTCTACCGTTAGTCTTCTCAGCCAGCCATTGATTAATTTCCCGTACCGCGTACGTTTCATTTTCGAAATTCAGCTCTTCCGCATCGGAGTCAAAGTACTTTTGCGCCACTGCACGAAATTCAGGTGCAATCGCCATGCCTTCTCTTGTGTAAATTTTATTCGCGATTTCCAATATAGTCTTGGACTTTACATACGAGTGCAATAGATTGTGGTAGCTTTTGGCTAAGCCTTCCTTGCTCTGGTGTGCGGTGGCATGCAAGCCCTTCTGCAGCTCGGTGGCTGTCTTTCCTTCGGCGCCATAATAAGCCAGGCCCAGTGCAGTTTGTATGGCGACTGGCGAAATAATTACATTCTGTTGTTGATTCTCCGTGGCGATTGTTTGAAACAATTCCGTGGCGAAGAGGTTTCTTTCACGTATGGAATTACAGGAGATCTTCGCGATGCACACCAACTGCACCAAAAACGCAACTGCAAACAAGACGAGAAGTGAAGGAATTTATTTTATTTTTCATTTTTATTTGCTTTGCCATAAAAAGTAAATTCAGTTATAAGTGAAATGTCTTACAACAAAACTCTTTGATTAAATAATTTAACACAAACATTTTTGTATAATTTGTTTAATTAATAAACTTTATTTTTGAATTCTTTGTGGAATCTAAAAATAACTTACAACAAAGCCACTTCATCTTTCTGTCGATTCGTGCTTGAGCCAGCGATCTTCACCAACTTTACTCTAAGACTAAAAGTGAAAACCTTCGAGAACCTGTAATTTATACCCAGAACTGGCATCACGTATTCCATATGTAAATTTATTTAAAAAGAACATCGAAAAGGAAAAGAAAGTCAATTTGAATATGAGCCCAGAAAGATACCAATTCGTACACTTCAAAACGTTTTTAAAGATACATTTTTATTGTTTTTTATTTTGAAAAAAATCTCAAAATTAAAAAATTTAAAAAAAATATGTGGAGTATTGAAGCAAAAGTAAACAAAAATAATTTCGCTTAACTTTCTGTGTAAATAGAATTTATGCATTTTTTATTTACTTTCGAAGAAGAAGATATTATTTAAATAAACTGATATGTACTGCAAAAATACATATAAAATACCCATTAAAATACAAAAAAAAATTCATACTTTTAAAAAAGTAAAATACATACCTATTACTTTCCCATAGGTGGGGAACCCTTTCTTGGATATTCCAGGAAGAACTGAGAAGGGAATTGTTAATTCAAAAACTGACATATTTTCTTATTAAAATTTACTAGTCTAAGAAAATCTTTAAATCTTTACGGGAATATTTAAGATATTAATTCTAGTTTTTTTTTTTAGATTTTAAAATAAGTCATTTTTAAAAACAAAGATTTGATAAAAATCAGAATAAAGTATAAATCTTTCAAGAAAATTTTTTTCAATAAAGTCTGGTATTATTAAATTTGAGACGAACTCGATATGCGATTTAAAGATCTGTTATGTCCCCTTCATGGATTTAGAGTCGTTCTTTTGTTAATCATTATCATTAATTATAATATTGAACCTACCTTACCTCTTTTGTTTGTACATCAGATTGAATTAAACTTTCAGCACAAGTTCCACGATCTCTTTCTATATTACATACATATATTAAATAATTAAAATTTATTTCAATTTGTTATAATAATATTTTACAATCAAATTTTTTTTTATTATTCATGTCATATTGTTTTTTTTTTGGTAATCTTTTTATGGGATTGAGTCCCCTTTGCAACGTGAGTTGGTTCTCGCTCTAATTCATCTTTGACATTTCTGCAACATTTTTCATATTCCACTCATTACTTAGTGCTGTCTCCAAAATTTATCCTTAAATTTTAGCCGTAGACGCTCAATAGGTTTTCTTTACTCAGACTTTACTTCTGCGATGTGTTTAGATATTGTCGGTTTTGCTATTCTTGACACATCAACGAACTACTTAAGTTGAAAGCACAATGTGGTTGATGTTGAAAAAGCACGAAGTTCTGGAAGAGCAATTGATATCGACAAAAATAAGATTAACGCAGAGCTTGATGCGAACCGTCGAGAAAAACATCCTGAGAATAAAATGATCGAATTCATCAGTTTATGATTATGTTAAGCAAAATCAGAAAAGACCAAAACTGATCCAAAAAAAGGACAATGTGAGACCCCATAAAAATTAATTAATCCACAAGGAATGTCTACAGTTTCAATGGGATGTTTTATCTCACCAAATATTTAGACAATACTATCAGTTAGAGTTTCTGAAATAATTTTAATCAGTTTTCAGATACTAGAGATAAAGAGATCTCACAGAGCGTGAGCTTGCAATCATGTTACTGCCAATGAATATATATATTAATATGAATGATTCAATAAAATTTTTATAAGCTTTAAGGAAAACGTTTTTTAGATTCATCTAGTACCGAATCAAGTACATATCACCCAAGAAAACCTATGCAGTATGTAATTGATTATTTGTGTTTTTAATATTCTTTTACCAACATTGTATTTTTTTTTCAGTGTATTCTCGGTTACTGCCAGCAATGTAATAAATGTAAAATAAATAATTGCCTGAGCAGTTTACAAAGAAGCTACTTCAGTGGGCACTCACCTCTGTGCCGATACCAGTAACAATTCAAAGATACGAAAAAGGAAAAAAGGTAAGCGACTAGAAGACACTTCTGCCTCAACAAAATATTATACTTCAAACTGGATATATTCCTTCCTTGCCTGCGGCCTCTGCTATTCTTCTTGCGAGTTCTGGTTTTTTCTTAGAACTTTTCTTCTTACACTGCATAGCCTGGCACACTCGTTACATGTACGAGTTGTAAACATTCACGATCACTTCGAGATAACACAGAGCTCTCTTCCACATTTGTAACTCTTACAAAGTACTTTTCTTACATTTTGCTAACATCGAAAATACTGGGAGCACTTTTATTAACATTTACATAGAAAACAAACTTATACATATCTATAACGTTTTAGGGTACCTCTTTCATATACCATATTTAAGCTGTTCGACAAGGTATATTTTTAAAATCTTAAAGAGACTTATTTTATTTAACAAACCCTTATTTTAGTCGAATAGATCTGTTGTAAACAAATACCACGAGTTTTGATAAAATATTAGAGATTAGTTTAAAGTATTGGGCCAAAATTTTAAATATATACAGATTAGGTTTGGATTAGGGGATTGTGAGTAACATCGTAGTATACAGAATTACACATATAAACACTCCAGATAATTGCTATAAAGGTGAAATGGAAAGAGATTGATCTTCTTTAATTCAGTAAAAAGTGTTTCATATTCTTCATAATGTTGTGAACAGGAATGGCAGTTTTATACCCAGTTAGATGATTTGATGAAGACGAATATTTGGCTGATGTTTACACTGCAACTATTGTAAAATGAATGTAATTACGTATATGATTAACAGGTCTTCAGGGTTCTCTTTGTTGGGTATTAGCAATTTTTCTCCATGTTGTCATAAGTCCACTGCTCTATGATAATTGATATTATTGCAAAAATTTCTATCTTATTTATATGAATTAACTTTGATCTGACTGCCATGGTTTTTGCTGGCCTCTCACAGAAAACAATCCTAGACTAATACTTTTTTTATCTGGCACGATCAACATCAGTAAAGAGTAGATTCTATTGAGGGGTCTCGAGAACTAAAATTACTTTCGAACTGCTACCTAATCAGTTAATATTGTATACTGTAAATTTTAGTAAATAATTTTTGATATGCAACGTAGCCTATAAATTTTAACGATTTTCTGACTGACCGACAAATATTTACTTGTAGTTAAAAGTTAGTATTAGGGTATAGTTTGAGCAAATGAAAAGTGATTGTCAGTACCTCCAAGAAATAATAGATATTTGTGTAATGCCTGCTTAGGAAAAGATATTCAATACTTTTCATAGGTAATCAGAAATATTGTCGGTGGTAACGTAAGAAATATAAGGCGTTGTCTGGGTCTTATTCTATATAAACACGACATTGTCTTGAAATGATACCTTATCTAACTTGGAGCTAGCTTGGAACTAAAGTTAGTTCAGAACTAACATTTTCATGTTCTTAAGTGAATCGTGACGTATGTTAAAAGATTTGATAATGCTTGTGTCTAAGAAAAAAGTAATGTAAATAAATCAGAATTTTTTCGGAGCCATTCTGTGCTTTAAAGAAGAGCTAAGAACTGAGAGTAGCTCGAAATAATGAAGGTTCGGATGTTGTAAAATGAATTGCATTAGGAATATAAGCGGGGTTGCATTAGGAATGTTTGCATCTAACGAACATTGGCTTTAAGACTTTGAATCTAAACTATTACCTAATGGAACCGGCACCTTTAAACTTTTTCTTTAAGATTTTAAAAACTTTTACGATTTCTATTTGTAATAAATGCCTGGGAAATATTAAGAAAAAGTCTTTATATTTTATATTAAATTTATCAGTTAACATTTTTCTGTATATTTGTATTTGTGAAATATTTCGTTGGAATAAAAAACTCCAAACAGCATCTAATGTGAGTACTACATCAAGTTACCTATGTTTCAATTTGATATATGTTAGAAATTTTTCTTAGAAGTCTATCTAAAAGATATTATTGGCTATTATTGCATAGAAATCGCTTAATTTCTTGAGAAAATTTTTTCTAAATATGCTCTAGAATATTTTTTCACTATTCACTACTCTTGTATTCAATCCGAAGTCAGCAAAATTGTTGAGAAGGTGTTATTCTTAAGCAAAAATAGTCATAAAAATAATAAGAGTAAAATAACAACATCTTAATATACGAGCAGATATTTAATTTCATTAAATTCATGTTAAGTCAACACAAAATGTTTTGAATAAACCCGTGGCCATAGTATTGCACGCGTATCCGAAGTATACAAATTTTACTTTCGCAGACTCAGCATCTGCGATTGCGCTGGGAATCTGTCAAGTTGTATCATTCTGAAGATCATTTCTTAAAAGCACTAATCAGCATTTTTCAGTTTTATATAAGTTTTGTATTTAAAGATTCTATTCATTTTATATATTTTTTAAAATAAATTTAAGGGCAAAAGGTTTTCAACATTATTAGTAGTTTCTTACACGGATAAATTATTATTGTTTAATATTTGTTTTTAATTTAGCATGTCTTCCAAGTCTTCCAAATAGATCATTTGAATGTGTCTCTTATAATCTTATTATACCAGATTCTTTAAGTTTCCACTATAATCAATTAGTGAGAAAGTATTAGAGATCAATTAAAGCATGTTACTTCAGAGCGAAGTATATAAATCAGTATAAAGATTTTATCTTGCTTATTTTAACTCAAAGAAAAGAGTTGATACTATTTATACACTAATTTAAAGAAGAAACTATGTAGACCTTCATTAGAATGCCACCCAGATGTAGATATACTAATGTATTTGACTGCAGAAAGGTAAGAACTTACCAACTAATAATAAAATCTATCTAAAAAATAGCCTTTATCTACGATTTGGTACTCACTTGGACAGACTTGGTAGCTTTGACAACACTAAAGCAAACCAATCGAAATCAAAATAAAGCAAACCAATCGAAAAATAATTTTTATTCTTTGTGTAATTACGGAGTTTACTGTAGTTTATGTCTTGCGTTTATATATATAATTTTGTTTGATATTCTTTGTTGTTATTCTGATTCTCTGCTGCTAATAATATTTTTATATAATAAAAAGTGTTATAGGCAGGTAAGTGAAAAAGAATGCGGATGAAAT